GTGTGAGATCGGAGAGGATTTCGAGATAAGATGAGAGGATTCGAAGAAGATACGAGATGGGGGAGAGGAATTAAGTGTCAAAGAAGAGAGGATTCGAGAGGAGAAGGAGAGGAATCGAGAGAGAAAAGAGAAACAGAGAATTTGAGAGAAGAGGGTTCGAGAGAGGGTTCGAGAGAGAAACACAAAGGCACAGAATTAGGAATTGAGGGATTTAGGGTTAGGGTGATAAGATTATGGTTTGGTTTAGGGGTTTAAATTGGTTTTGTAAATTAGGGGTTTAATTTGGGTTTTTTAGATTAGGGGTTTAATTTGGTTTTGGTTTTATTTTACTTGGTTTAGATTATGGTTTTTACAAAATGTGGGTTTTGGAAAATAATAATTTTGTTTAAAATCTAAAATGGATTTAGAAAAAATATTTGGATCCAATTTATGAAAAAATATTGTTTAAGACTTAAGTTTTAGTTTTGTTTAAATATGATATATGTTATATGATAACAATAAAATGTAAAATTATAATTTATTACAAACTGATTTAATTAAAAGTTTTACAAATCTTCTTTATTTATTGTCATCATCAGACGATGATATATTACATCCAAATTCATCTTCTTGTTCTGCATCTCCAACATCATAATCAAGATCTATTTGGTGCACTCCTTGCACCAAATTTTTGATTTCGATATCAGCAATTGTACTTAGAAGTACAACATCATCATTTTCTTGTTACAAAAAAGTCGGTTCCTTATCTTCGCAGTGTCCTGCAATATTTTTTTCTCGGATTTACCTTTACAACATCGAGCCATGGCCGCTTTGGTTTTTTTTGTGTATGGATACGGAATATAATAAACTTGATCTACTTGAGAGGCAGTGCAACATCATTATAAAAAAAATAATATATAAATATATGATATCAACATTTATGTATATATATGTATATATCTATATATACCTAGAATAAATAGTTCGTATTTAGTGTATCGTCTCGATGAAAGAACGTCAACAATGCCACCATTGCTCCTCCGAGCGCCTCTACCAATAACAAGGTCATACCACTTACACTTAAAAAGTGTTATTTTCAAATTGACCATCTCCTCATACTCGAGTTGTATGATGTCAGTTAAAGTCCCATAGAAATCAGCTTCATCAAATGCATACGTATAGTTCTCTCCTTTTACACATACACCGTAGTTACAAGTCTTTCGTCCCTCGCCGTGATTCTGCGTATGAAACAAGTATCCTCGTGTGAAATAGATAGGCCAGGTTTTGGCTTTATTCACGGGCTCATGCACTATCTCTTCAACCCAAATAGGAAAAGGGTTTGTGGCATTCCAATAAGTAACCTACATATAGCTATAATATATTAATATACAGAAGTATAAAGACATACATCTATAGTAGATAAGTAACTATGAATATTATTTAAATATACATAATCTTTCACCCATATAGGATATTCGTCAGCTCTTTTCGCGAAAAGTTCTTGTTCAGAGAGTTCTGGATATTTTGCAGAAATGTAATCCTCGAACATACTATAAAAAATCAACACAAATATGAAAATCATAAATTATATTTAAACATAAGTTATAAGATATGTCATATTATACCTCTCAAATGGCTTAAAATAATCACAATTTCTCAAAACATAGGCATGTGCACATTGGTAGTACGGCAGCTCCCAGAATATGCTTTCCTTGTGCCAGTTATGCCAATTCCCATATCCAGCCTTCTTCTTTTCATGACCATTTCCACCACAATTTTTTTTTTCGGGGGATTAACACCATGTATTCGCTCGTAGTAAACTTGCTCACCAATTAAAGACTGAGGTGGATACATATTCAAAGCGTGTTTTCCTTTCAAGAAGTCTTTTTTGTTCTTCCTTAGTAGATGATCATGAGGGCGAGGAAGAAATCTTCGGTGACAATCAAACCAACACGTCTTTCTTCCATTAGGGAGATAAAATGATTCTGTTTCATCCATGCAAATTGGACAAGACAATTTACCATGAGTCGTCCATCATGATAACATGCCATACGCCGGAAAGTCGCTTATCGTCCACATCAGCACATCGTATGCGTCGACTCCAGTGGACCATAATTCTTTTAGCTCATCAATAAGAGATCGGAGGAAGATATCCAGACTTGCTCGCGGATGATTTAGCCCAGAATTCAGAATTTTGAGAAACAAGTATTCTGTATTCATGCACATACCAGGGGGTAAATTATATAGAGTAAAGATCACAGACCACAAAGAATGATTACGAGACATGCCAAATGGATTGAATCCATCTGTACATAATCCAAGATAAACATTATGAGGTTCTTCTGCAAATCGGAGATGTAGGTCTTGAAAATATTTTCACTCTGCTCCATCAGACGGATGACACATTTCTCCCTCATTTGCTTTGTGCTCAGCATGCCATGTCATTGCCGATGCAGTCTTCTCGCTCTGATATAGTCTCTTCAATCTATCAGTAATAGGTAGATACCATATACGACTATATGGAACTTTGGTTCGCTGTCGTCCATTGTTAGGCTTCTATCTTGGTGCATCACAAAATTGACACTTATCCCACTTTTCATCCTCTTTCCAGATAGTGATAAATCTCTTTTAACTATATCTCCGAAGATATCCATTCCCAATATCTTTGAAACTTCTCCCAAGTCTCTCACCTCAAGCTCTTTGTTCAAACTTCCTTCTTCTGCATCATTCTTCCGATGCTTGTGTTTCTTGCTCTTTCTCATATCTTCTGTATCAGTCTCCCCGACAGCAGCGAAAGCAAACTCCACCAGTTAATCATCTCCTAAAGATTTTGTCCCAGATTTTTCCTTGCTCACCTTAGACTCAATTTCTTCAAAATTCTTTATTGAAGAGGAGTCTCCACCTTGAGCAGATGATTCCTCTGTCATAAAGCAATATGGAGTAGGTCCATGCGTCACATTTTCACTGAATGTCACCCTCTTTAACTTTTTCTTTCTGACTTCTTTCTCTATTGTTGACTTTGCAACCGTGCCTTGTAGGAAATACAGCCCATCTTTGTGTTTTCCAGATATTGCTTTCTTCCCATCCTTGTAGAACTGAACTCTGATGTTACCTCATTTATACTTGCAACCTGATTTCTCTAACATCCCATATGAGATAAGATTCCTACTCACCTCTGGCATGTATCTAACATCCATGAGTATCACCTCAGAACCATCTGGATTCTGAATCCCAATCTCCCCCCCCCCCCCCCCCCCCCCCCCATTCCTTTGATGTTAGCATGCATGTTATTCATCATGAAAACACTGCCAACATCGAACTCCTTAAAGTCAAACAAGACTTCTTTGTCTGGTGTACTGTGGTATGAACAACGTGAGTCCATAACCCATTCCTTCTTCGTGTCTTGAGCACTAACACTTAACACTACAGGCTGCTTAGTTACTGCTGTAATATTTGCAAACTTTTGAGGTTTCTTTCTTTCTGGACATTCTCTATAAAATAACATGTGTTGTCTTTATCAGTCCTTTTCTTTGACTTAGATCTGCCCCGGCTTTTAGAATATTCTCTTGAACATTGTTCCTTGAGATGACTTCCTTCACCGCATATACAGCAAGTGATTTATCTTTCAGATGACTTTGACCTTGCTCTTCTTCTTCCTTAGTGTTCTTTTCTCTGTAACCTGATTGTTCCCTCTCTCTAGTAGGAAAACACCTTTATTCTTCTTTTGTTTGTTCCCCAATCTGACTAAACTCGGACTTTTTATGCATTTTGCATTCATCACCCTCCCTGTCTTTAGTGGTCCTTCGCAATATTCCAGTGTATCCTCGAGATCAGCAAATCTACTGGGGAGAGACAAAAGCATTTTAACTGAGACTATCTTTTTCTAAATCTGAGACTATCTTTAGAAAATCGTTTATACTCTCATCCATAGGCTTCTTTTCATCCATCTTAAACCTATATAGTTTTTTCTTAAGGTATAAACGTCTTGATGGTGACTTTGGTGAGAAGAGATTATCCAGAACTTGTATCATACCTGCAGCTGTCTTTTCTCTCACACCTTTCCTTAGGAGAATATCTCCAACACCTAGTATGATAACAGATCTGGCCTTTTTCTCTATCTATTCCAGCGAGAGGTCTTTCTTGTGTTCTTACTTTGTTTCTTCTGAGCTTGAAGACACGACCTCTGCTACAACACCTTCTTTTACCCCTTTTCCTTTCTCTTTTAGAGCATCCATGAGACCAATGTTCTCTAGTTGAGAAAAAAGTTCTTCTTTCCAGAGAGTGTAATCTCCTTCTTCATCAAACCTCTCCATGTCGAACCTTTCCTGTGTAGGTTCCATGACTGTTTGATCGAACTGACTTTGTGTTTACTAACCTGCGATCTTCTATAACAGGTGATGTAGCGGATCAGCCTTGATGTGCAATCCAATTAACTTGATGCTCTGATACCACTTGTTAGGTATTCCCAGCCTCTTTGCAAAACCAAGACAATCAACAATAAAGTAAGAACAAAAGATGTTTAGTAACCTAGTTCTCGGCCTCGAACCGGTACATCTGGGGAGGGATTTCTTGCCCTCAACTTCCACTATAAACCCTTGAGAATACAAGCTCTGTTTCTCAATTACAGGAAGAAGCCCTAGGTAGATCAATCAACCTTAAAGCACAAGGTTATAGAGTAAGGTTTATATATACTTATGTCGCTAACCATATTTGCCATTCTTACGCCAACACTAATTTTGCGGACTTAATTGAGATGCAGCCCCATATCATCTTCTCTCTTCTTCATGTGTTCACTAAGAAAGAGGCCCAATTGTTGTTTGGCCCAAGCAAAGTTGGTCTAAGGTTTTGGTCAAATTTCACAATAATAAAAATAAAAAAGCATAAAACCTCCGCCAAACCTAGTTATCAGAGTATTACATATGTCAATACGGGCCATGGCCTGCGGGTTCGGCCCAACAAAGCCCACTATGGGGCGGACTTGGGCTTCAATAAGAATCCAAAAATTGTCGGGTTTTGCGGGTATGACCCGTGCGGTTAGCGGGTTTAGCGGATCCCATCACGGGCTAGCGGATCTGCGGTCTAAACCGCACAGTTCATGCCTTTTCTGCAAATTCATCAAGAATCAATCGATTCATATGTGATTTCATACCGATTCTGATGACTCTCGACTATTGTGAGATAATGGGAGACTTTTTTGTGATTACCAGACAGTGAATCGATTTTGATCTCAATTCTGATAACTCTTACTCATTTCTCTCTGTTCAGATTTGGTCATTGAGGAAGCAAATCGACATGGCAGCTAGAGGTTTGTTGATTTCCATTTTCCTTTATTCTCTACCTTTATTTGATGGTTTTTTGCTAATTTTAGAACACACATGTAAAGAGGCCAATGCTTTTGTTATTCTCTCCAGAGATGCTGATACACAGATGGATGCTTTAGAGTTTGGTATGGGTCCGAATGCAACAACAGGTTGGTTGGAAATACTACTGATATATTTATGCTCTCATATTTTCAGCAAGTATGTGGAGTCTATTGTCTGATTCTCTAATCTTTCTAGATTTCCCTTACTGAATTGAACCTAAGTTAAGGCTTTCTGGTATCCAGGGACCTGCCCAGGAGAAGGAGAAATGGGAGAGAGAAAGGAAAGAACTACGTGATCTTGTAATACCAGGAACTTGTAGCTGTTTCTTCTCATCTCGAAATTTGCGACTAATGACTCTTACTATTTGCTGAAATTCTTATATTTACTGCAGATTAGGTTGGGAAGAACCTTCATATAATGAGTCAGTTGGAAGGTGTTGACCTTGGAAAATACAGAGACACTGATCTTTCTAGGATAGTAGAGCAGGTCTGGTTTTTCTCTTTTTCCTTAAGATATTTCAGCATCCAAGCTTCTGTATACTTTTTAGTGGAACTGAATTATGTATTACTGTTGTAAAAGGTTGTCAATTTTAAGGATGAACTTGCACAGTGCTACTTAATGGATTGCATTATTCAAGTCTTCCCTAATGATTTTCACCTTCAAACACTCGGTGTATTATTAGGTGCTTGTCCACAACTTCAAGTACTTTTTATAACCTACCATTTTCTTCTTTTATATGGAGCAATTGATAAAAGATAAAACTGGTAAATAAACTTTATCCCATCAGAACATGTTTCCTCTATATTCCTTTTCGTCATTGTGTTTTTCAGCCGTCTGTTAATATCAAGATGGTCCTTTCGGGTCTAATGGAAAGACTTTGGAACTATGCTGCATCTAGTGTGGAAAGGTAAATCTCGCATCCAATTATGAAGTCGAGGGAACGGTTGTATTTCATAAACATTCGATTGAGTCTACATCTTGTATATGATGTAGGTTGGAGAAGCACAAATGGACTTGCCAGCCTCAGGATCTGCAACATAGTATTTGTTTCTTCTGAAATTCACTCTCCATGTCCATTCCAATCGTCTAGACTATGTGGACCATGTTTTGGTATAAAGCCTTCCAAGCATGTACAAAAGTGTGTTTAGTTTAACGAACAATATGTTTTGTGTCTAATCAGTTATGTAAGTTGCTAATACACATTGTTGTCTCTCCCTCTTCAATTTCTCTTTGGGGTTCTTGTGTTACCCAACTCTCTGCCACAGGAAAGTTTTATGATGACAAGGCATTATAATAGATCGTTGACGGGACAACTGATGATGCTCAGGTACTAAAACATTTATTATTCAGTTCTTATTGCATTTGTGGTCACGGAATTCTAATTAAGAGTACTTTTCCTTAAATAATTTACTTGTTATTGTTCCCGACATTGGTTTCAAACGGGAAACTATATTGTTTTCTAGGTTGATGAAGAAGAAATCCAGGAAGAGCAGAACTCTGTAGCACGGCTGGTTCATATGCTCTACAGTGATGATCCATAAGAAATGTCTAAGGTGTGTATATATTTATATATTGTTGGACATCAACGAAGCTATCAATGTGACGCATGTGTGTGATTCCTAATTCATATACCTAACTTCAGACAATTATCAGAGTAAAGAAGCACATCCTGACTGGAGGACCTAAGCGTCTACCTCTTATGATTCCACCCTTTGTCTTTTCCACTCTCAAGGTTTGTATTTCTTCTGTGATAACTAGTTTACTCTGTTCTTCAACTTGGGAAATTTGTGTCTTCGTTTGAGGATTTTTCGTTGAAATAGAAATACTAAATTGTTTTCCGTTGTGTTTTCTGCCGTATCCATGGTCTTGCTATATAAATTTTACAAACTTTGAGGATTTTTTTGTGGTGGTTTGAGAATTTTAGCAGTTGACTAATTTTAAACATTGCAAAAATTTATAATAAAATCCAAGTTTTCAAAACCTTTTGCACCAAGTAGATGCTCTCAAACTTAAACGGTTTAACTGTTTAAGTTAAACCTGATGTACAAGTTTACTCTACATCAAATCCCACACATATACTCATATCATTGTAGTATGTGAATGTCAATCCATAATGGGCAAAGTAAGACACTAGGAATTTAATAGATCATCTAATTCAAGCAATCATATTCAAGGGATTCTAACAACTAAAGAGATTCTAAATAAGCAAGAGCAAGAGATAAGAACAGGGAGGCTAAGACAGGTTCAAATTCAAACAATCAAAGACTATTAGGCTTCAAATGAGGTTATTGACCAAGGGAGATTCTTGGCTTAACTAGTGATGCTTACAAACCCACAACAAGCTATTCCTGGGCATAGAATTAACAACTATAACTAACTCAATTCTTTGACATTAATCTCTTTGCTAAGCACATAATCAAGATAAATTCCTTTACTTAAACACATGATCAGCAAGCATTATAAGCATTAATCCAATTCTATATTGCCAATCTACTTCCTAGACAGCTACTTCCTTAGGCTAAGATAAGCAAATATCTTACTTGACTCATTCAGGAATTTAATCAAACACTTATCAGGCATAAGAGAACCCGTAGGATCTAGATCAACTTAGTAAGGGCTAATCTAGCATTAAACGCAATCAATAAGAAGGAACAATGATATTAAGCACTAAGAAATCACTAATCTAGCCTTAAACCTCCCTATCTTTATCCCATCTCAAACTCTAAAATAACTACTCACTAATCATGACCTTAATCATAGTGTTAAGCAGAGGAGAATGACAAATCATAATTAGAAAGAATATAAACACCAACTTTGATTGAAAGAACAAGATTCAACATGAGATAACAAGAGAAACTAAGAGAAATTCAAGGGAGAAAGCTATTATCCAAAGGGTAAAAGATGATAAGATCCCCCCCTAATGTTTTTAGGTCACATCCTATATATAGTTTTTAGATAAAACCCTTAGTAAACCGGAAATAAACCGGAAAGCAGCTGGTTCGAACGCTTGATATCGACTTGTTACATCGATACGCTGGTCGATAGAGGTTTTCCCTAACTTTGTCCTTGTCAACAAACAATTCGAAATGCCTCAACTTTCTGGTTGGCAGAAGGGTGTGTCGACCAAGTCTCGTCAATACTCTGATCGATACAATCGCCTCTGGCTAAGGCATCTCGGTTGATCTCCTCGGTATGCTACTCGATACAATCGCCCTTTAGTTAACGCTTATCAAGCTCCAACATCGATACAGTTATCGATACCCTTCGAGGCTTGTGTATCGAGATGCTCCTACGTCGATATGCTGACCGGTACAGATGCTTTGAAGGTGGTGTATCGACCAGAATGGCTCGATACTCTTTCGTGCCCTGTCTCCTTATATCAACTTTGGGACCTCGATGTGTTTATCGGTATGGCACTTTAGCATATATCAACATGTGATGTCGATATGTTGCTTTATATGATGAGTATGGATTTGCTAAGTCGATACCCTGCTCGGTATGAAGCCTACCCGCCTTAGTTTCTTCAGCTTGACTCCCAGCATTTCCTTTGGTCCTTAAACTCCTCCAATGCACCTGCTAATTGCTCGAAATGCACCTAATATGCAATGCAACTCCTAATTATACTTTAAACACTAAATGGGTGCAATTGGGACAAGAACATGTAGAAATGCATGCTTAAGGATCAAAAACTAGTGCTAAATGTATGCTAAAATGGTATAAATATAGTTTATATCAACTCCCCCACACTTGCCTTTTGCTTGTCCTCAAGCAATCAAAGACAAATAAGAAAGAGAGGCTTGAAGGTGGGAGCTCAAAATTAAAGATGCTAATGGAAAATTGATTCAATGCCCAAGTTATTGGTTCTAAGATGCATAAAGATTGTTCTACTTCAAAAGATTTAGCCATACCCATCATAGCAAACAGTGAACTCTAGCTTAGCCTACATAAGCATTCAAATTTACCAACTCTTTAACATTCATTAATGGTAACCAATGAATCAAGTTTGTGCAAATCAAGAGAAAACATTTGGTTTAAGGGTTAAGGTTATGAGATGAAAATGATCTCATTCAAATAAGGGTTCAAAGATTCATGGGATCACTCAATGAAATGATTCTATCTTAGGTAAAATGCTAAAGGTAAAAGCACACTTATGCATGCAAGTTAAAGCTCTCTTCTACCCTTTTTACCCAAACATGAACCTAGGAACTTCTAAAACTCCAAGTGAAACTCCTAAACCTACCCTTTTCCAAAGCGCTTGATCTCTTCTTTCTTCTGATTTGGGGAAACTCCTTCTTTTGCTTGTGTGGTTGACTTCTTTTTGGAACTTGCTCTTCTTTGTTGTATGATTGGCGCCATTTTCATCACCTTTGGTGGATTGCTTGGTCTGAGTTCTCTTTTTGCATGGCCTTTTGTAAGCTTTGTTGTTACGGGCACTTTTCTTCTTTAACACTTAGAGCTTTCTTCCTAATTAACTTAACCAAAAAATAAACTGTTCCCCCATACTACCAACCCCATACTTCTTCTTCTTCTCAAAAGATGTAAACACTTAAAGCTCAAAACACTTAACACTACCCTTTCCCAATCTCCTATCCTAGTACCAAGCTCAAAATGTAAGCTGGTGTCTACAAGAGAGTTTCTCCTTTCCAGCCTTATTCCTAACACTTTTTGCCAAGATAAAATCAAAAAATGATGCAATGCAAGGCCTCACAACTCTCAAGATAGTGTTTAGGTTCAGAAGGAATGATTAGTTTAAGGTGTGGATAACTGTCCCATAATGATGAGGATCAGCAACTTGGATCAACAAGAGTGGTAAGAAGGGAAATAGATGATCCAAGTATGTTTATGGGTAACCATGTAAACACTCTCAATGCACAAACAAGATAATTCAAAATCAGATTTAGGTTCTAATAAGATAGAGTTGGAATCAAATCACAGTAAGCTTCAGCATAAGTCATGAGTGTCAATGCAAGAATTCAAAGCATGGTGCAGCCTTAACTTCAAACTCACTACTATGCATTCAAACAACAAGAAACCAAGGCATTGATAACAATCCAAACATGGGCATCTTAACATGTGTTTATCATTACTCCCTATGCAAATGTGTGCAAAGCTACATGAAATGCATCTAGACTCAGTCTTAGGTATGCAAATGCCCCTAAATGATTGTTTTTGGTTTCGAAAAATTTGAATTTTTTGGATTTTCTATGCATATAGATGAATGCATGAATGCATGAGACTCAAATATGCAAAAGGAAAAATAAGAAAACAAAACACAATGTCAAATGCAATACCCTCCCCCACACTTAAATTACACAGTCATATGTGTAATAGAAGGTATAGGGAAGGGTCAAACAACTATAAATGATGTATGGAAGAAAGGCAGGGTGAGAGGAATGAAGGAGGATGTGTTAGGGTAGACTTACTGCTGTTGTCGTGGTCGATATCGGTTTGAGAAGTCAATATGTCGATCGATATGCTTCTGAGGCGGTGGGTATCTGGGAGGGATATCGATACACGGGTCGATATTCTTCTGGGTGATTCATATCGGTCTGAGTACCGGTGTAGATGTCGATACGCCGTGATGCGTAACTCAGGAATCGCCTTCGCCCTTTTGTTAAGGCATATCGATTTTGCTTCCCACGATATCCTTGTCGATACACTCGTGCTCTTTGTGTATCGGCGTCGTAGGTCGATATGCAAGTCGATACGCCATGCTTCTGTTCCGTATCAGCTTGTATGTTGTCTGGTACTCTAATGTATCGACCTTGGTGTGCTTGGTACATGGGTCGATATATGTGCCATCGGGGTGTATCGAGACAGGTACATCGGTATTCAGGTCGATACAGGATCCTCTCTAATGTATCAACCTCCAGGCTGATGTGGTACTCTGATTGATATAGGTGGGAAGCACACTATATCGATCAAATGATACCGGTACGTGCATCGATACGAGTCATATCGACTTGATCTCATCGATATACTGTTCAATAATGCCCCCTTCAAGACCTTCCTGCATTGTAACTCAGCTGTTCTTTTCTGACCTTATTCCAGATGCCTAAGGATGCTTCCTGGATACTAAAACAAACAAGAAAAACATGAAAAAGCAAATAATATGGACAGGGATAACATGTGAATACCTCCCAAGAGTGCTTGTTTGGAGTCACTAAGCTTGACTTTTCTTGCTTCTTAGGTAGCTGGGGGGTTTTGGAGGTGAATGTCTGTATCATCCCCAAGTGTGTCACTAGCCATGTAAGGCTTCAGCCTATGCCCATTCACTGTGAAATCTCCTTCCTCTGGTTTGAACAATGTAACAGCTCCATAGAGAAGCACTTCCTTGATCTTGAAAGGACCTGTCCACTTGGACTTGAGTTTTCCTGAAAACAACTTCAGCCTGGAATTGAATAACAGCACCTTGTCTCCAGCTTTGAAGTCCTTGGGTCTTATCCTCTTATCATGAAAATCCTTTGTCCTTTCTTTATAGATTTTAGAGCTCTCAAAGGCTTCAAGCCGGTTTTCCTCTAACTCATGCAAGTTGATGAGTCTCTTCTATTGAGTTGTCTTAATGTCAAAATTCAGCAGCTTGGTCGCCCACAAGGATTTGTACCCCAGCTCCACAGGCAGATGACAAGACTTGGCATAAAGGAGTGAGAAGGGGGTTCTGCCAGTGGGTGTCATGAAGGCTGTCATGTATGCCCACAAGGCGTCATCTAGCTTGTGAGACCAATCCTTTCTTGTAATATCAACTATCTTTTCTAGGATGGTTTTGATCTCTCTGTTAGACACCTCCATTTGGCCACTCGTTTGAGGGTGGTAAGGAGTGGTAACCTTATGCTTAACATCATTCTTCCTTAGCAAGCTTTCAAAGACCTTGTTGATGAAGTGGCTTCCCCCATCACTGATAACACATCTTGGAACACCAAATCTTAGGAAAATGATTTTCTTGAAGAGTTTCAGCACGACCTTGGCATCATTTGTAGGGCCAGCCACTGCTTCAACCCACTTTGAGACATAATCTACAGCAACAAGGATATACTTATTCCCATAGGATGAAGGAAAAGGTCCCATGAAGTCAATCCCCCAAACATCGAATATATCCACTTCAAGGATTGAGTTCAGAGGCATCTCATCTCTCTTAGAGATGCTTCCCTTCCTTTGGCATGCATCACATGATAAGACATAAGCTTGGGTGTCCTTGAACAGACTTGGCCACCAGCTTGGAGTACCTTTTGTGCTGTCTTGAAAGTAGCAAAGTGACCTCCACAGGTAGAACCATGACAGTGGTGAAGGATACCCTTGACTTCTTCTTCAGCTATGCACCTCTTGAACAGCCCACTAGTCCCTTTCTTGTAGAGGTATAGCTCATTCCAATAATAGTGGGACACATCTTTGAAGAATTTCTTCTTGTGATAAG